GTCTGCCGGCCTGTTGTGGATCAAGGATATAGTTGTAGCTTTTGGATGCCTTCTAGTGCCATTTAAAGGACTAAATGAAAAAGAAACCAGAGGTCCCGCTGACACAAACACAGAGTTGTGATGGAAAACATTCAGTGAAGTTTTTATTGTTGGCAGAGTATTTTCTTATGATGAGAAAAGTCCCATCTCAGCTAAGTTGTAAAAAAAACCATCTGCAGCAGGGTCCTTGTCTCTGAAGACGGTTCTTTATGGCTCTGGCTGTTTTGTTTGGGCTCGTTGTCATGATGCAGAGTGACGTCTCCCTGACAGAACTGCGTGATGGATAAGAATCTAAAGTGTGTAAAACGTTTTCGCAGTAACACGACGACACAAATCCACCACAAAGATGCATTAAAATGATCACAAATAGACGCGAAATGAGCGAGACAGTGAGACACAACACGGTCATAAAAAGACACAAAGCGAGACCACAAAGACATGTGAAACCACTACACACACACTGAGGCGTCATTGTAGTTGTTTTGTGTATCAGTTCCTTGCTTCTTTATAAGAGGAGTGGAGGAACTCTTACATCACTGTGCCCAGGGGCTCATTGTCTCATGATCCAGCCATGTCTGTTGGCCTCCAGCAGGTCCCTGACCTCCAGGATGGCCTGAGCTCCTGGGGTTGTGTGTGTGTGTGTGTGTGTGTGTGTGTGTGTGTGTGTGTGTGTGTGTGTGTGTGTGTGTGTGTGTGTGTGTGTGTGTGTGTGTGTGTGTGTATTTTAAACTGAGGGGACTGAACCCAAGTTCATAATCAGTGACCAGGGCAATGTAAACACCCTCAAAGAACACACACACACACAGAGCCATGGGAGGGATGATGAGGGGGTCTCATGGACTCTCTACATAAACACAGCACTGTCAGCTGACCGTAGGCATTTGAGACATGAGACATTTTTGCACATTTAAAAAAGCCTGAAGTTACTAAAAAGGATGAAAAGCCCTTTTATATAATTTATTCAACAAGTAGACATTTACTTCATGTTCCCCGTGATACTTCTATTTCTCCCAAGTCACGAATAGACAACTTACCTACACACATAAAACAGTCCCAACATACTAACATCACAAAGAGTTAAAATCTCTAACGGTGGCCGGTCCTTAGCTGGCCTATAATCAGCACTAAGGCAGATATTATGTTTTTAAAAAAGTCAAAATTATTGTTATTATTACCAAATACCTGCAGAGCTACCTCGCCTGTACCTCGCCTCTTAGTCTTCTTTTCTGTAGATAAGAGGTAAAATAGTGAATGCGTGTTGACGTATGTTCAGAGGTGAAGGTTTGGAGAATCAGGCCCCGGCTCCTGTAACACTGTGTGCTTTGTGTGTGAATGTGCTCGATCATGAGAGTTGTGTAATATGTTTAATAAAACCCTCTCTGTTGACTTGTACGGTCAGCGCCTGCACACCTCCAGCAGGTATACTGTAGCGCTAATACAAGTGTGAGCAGCCAAACCAGCATACTTTCAATGAGCCACACCTAGATACACACACTCATAGACACACACTCATAGACACACACTCATAGACACACACTCATAGACACACTGCTGATGTCCTGTAGGATATAAGAGCAGTAATTAGCAATCCAAGGTGAAGTCAGTTTTCTCATTCTCACTCATGTTCCAGCATGCAGGTGGCAGATGCTTCTGCTGTCAGCATACTTGCCACCTACTTGAGAGAGAGACACACACACACACACACACACACACACACACACACACACACACACACACACACTTGGTCATCCTCCTGTTGCTTCCACCTGCGCTGCACAGTCTGAACAGCGTGGAGGGGGAAATTAGAGCTCGGCTGCCTGAAGGGGATTAGCTGCCATGTCTGAGAGGTGTGATGTTGTGCTGTTGTGTTGTCGAGTGTCATCGTTCAGCTAATCTTGAACGTCACTCGTCTCCTCAGACACCTGCAGAACACACCCACCCACGCAGACACACACACACACACACACACACACACACACACACATTGTATTCAAGGCTCACCCTAGTGTCAGCAAGTAGCACAAGTAGCTGCACGTTGTGTCAGTCTCACGCTGCAGAGTTTATTCAGACTCACTCCCACGTTGCTCCCTGCTGAGCTCACCAAGGCTACTGTTGTGCCCTGCATTTAATCTAACAGCAGCCTGCTCCCAGTGCAGAGATCAACGGCTGTTATTTTGGGAGACAACTGGTTATTTACAGCGGGAGAGGACGTTGTGAAACACAGGGTGGAGGAAGAATAACCAGGAACTTCTCACAGTATTGTGAAGCGGAGCCTCGCTGGAGAGTCTCATACTGAAGCAAATCAAGCTGCACTACAGTGACAACTGTAAAAATTAAATTACACAACATAGTTTGGTCTCATCTCCTTTTTATCCACTGTTTACAAACACTAATGGTGTAAACTTCAGCTGAAACAAACGATTAATTGATTAGTTGATCGCAGGAAGCAACTGTATTTATCTATTAATCGTCTCAGTCATTTTTCTAGTAAAAATGTCAAACATTTGCAGGTTGGAGGCTCGGAAATGTGCAGATTTAAAGTTTTTCTTTGTCATAAATCACTGTAAACTGAATGTCTTTGGGTTTTTGGCTGTCGGCGGGACAAAAGAAGACGGCACTCAGACAGGCATTCTTTATTATTTTTTGACATTTGGAGAAAATAATTTCCAGCTTAATCTATAATGATAATATTTAGTCGTAAAGTAAAATAAAACTCTAAACTTCGACACTAATAACTAAGTGTCAGTAAGTTGCATATGAGGAAAGTATCCTGAGAAAGTGTGTTTTTTAGCTTGTGGTGAGAAGATGAGCAGAGCTCTAGTTGACTGCGGATAGAGGGTGAGCTGCACTCAGCCGGGACTGGAGCTGTGGCATGGTTTCCTCTCAGGTTGTTGTGTCTGCCCCAGGAAGTAGTGCGGCCTTGAAACAGGGTTTTGCCCCGGGGGAGGGGGGGGGCATGGAGGAAGTGGATGTACGTAAGTCAGGTCACGGTGAACTGTCGGCAGGGTTCATCAGCAGGTTCGTTGCAGAGCTGCTCAGCTGAAGAAGTCAGGTCGTGTTGGAGTAGAACTGAATTTCATGCTGTGTTCTTAAGAGAAAATCAGCATCCACAAAGGATATATTTATATAGTTTGGTTTTATGGCTGCAGCTTCCTTCTCTGCATGAACCAGTCAGAATATTGTTGGTTATTGTCGAGCAGGTCCCCGTTTTGATACACATGTAGGATTCTGCCAATGGTGTCACACTGTTCCACTGACCAACAGGAGGCAGTATCACGCCAGGATACGCTGCATTGTGCCAGCATAGGTAAGGAAGAAGAAGACTGTGAGCTAAATGTAAACAATGTACTCAAATACCCCAAAAATCAACTTTGCAAATGTCTTATGAGGAAGGAAATACTCAATGTAAACATAACTTTTGGTTGCTTAGAAGAAAACTCTACATTGCACCTTTTTCAAAGCTCCATATTTAATCCGCTCGGTGAGCCAATCAGAAGAGAGGAGGCTCTGAGCCTCTCTTCTGATTCGCCGACTGCTGTTTGAATAATCGAGTGGAAAATATTGCAGATTTCCTGAAAACACTCCTCACAAATCCTGTGAGGTTGGTATGGTGGGTCCAGGTGGGCGGGGTTTGGGGCGTGTCTGAGAGCGTTGACTGCTTTGTTGTGACATCACAAAGTTACAGAAGTCCTGACGCTCATTTGAAGGCTCAGGTTCTGAATACAGGCTGTGTGCATTTCTTTGTGGACTGAGGCTTTGATACTTTCACAGTATTAATATAGAACCTAGACCTGATCTATAATCATAGACTATATGGGACCTTTTTAAGGTGGTTTAAGCACAGGTGGGGTCGTCTTCAGGTCATATCTCATCCCTCCATCTGTCCTGGCATTAAGATGCAGAGACATTAGACAGTTAGGAAATGATTTGTATCTGCAAGTTTTTCTCAGAGATGATTCTGGACAAATGTTTGTGCATCTTCTCTCCGATGAATGAGATCCATTGTGTATGTTCAGGACTCGCTGACACAGATTCCTGCCTCGGTAATGGAGCGGATGTGTCTGACAGGGCATCAGTGTTTGTCGGTCTCACACACACACACACACACACACATACACATACACAGACAGACACACACAGACACACACACAGGCCAGTTGTGTGCAGAGGGAAAGCTGGGCAGCGACGTGGCCAACAGCTCTGTGGGCAGCCGATCGCCGGTGAAGACTCGGTGTCGGCTGACGTGGAGCCGCAGTTTGTCTGAGGCTGAAACTGTAGAGCAGGGAAACTGGACCGTCACGGGTTTGATGCCCAAAACGGAGAACACATAATCCTATATCATTGTCTAGCAGGGAAACCATAAAAGCCTCCTGACCCTTCTACATACAGTGGCTGTATTTATATTTATTATATGTTAATTTCACATGAACTATATTTAGATTTACTGTCTGTATTACTATAAACATTTAAAAAATGTGCACATTTACAGACCAGTTTACTAGTAACAGTTGGAAAACAGTTGTATATCTGCGGCTCTGGCTCGATCCTCAAGGTCCATTTATTAGCTGTTCTGGAGCTTTGGATAATATCACATGATCTTCTTCTTCACCAGATGAAGTTTGCTCTTCTTGTCATGACCATTTTATGTTGTATTAAAAGTTGAGTTTCAAAGTTCATTCTTGACCTTGGAAACAGAAGTTGACAAAAGGGAAGGTGTTGACTCAAACTGGTGATTAAAAGTCAAGATTCACCATTTATCTGTGTAATTTACAGCTAAATACCTGCAAAGGAAAATACTCCTCCTCCTAAAGTAAAGTGTTACCGTGGATTGATACAAAACCGTATGATTGTCAGACAGTTACAGGACGGATTTCCTAGCTTAGAAAAGCTAATGTGATGACAGTTTTTACCTGATATTAGCTGTATGTATTAAATGGTATTCTCTCGTTCTCTCTCTACAGTCTTTTCTGTAGCCGCCATCATTCCGTGCTGTAAGGCCGACCCCAAAATGTCTTCCAATGGAGACCTCAGCGACCTGGGGAGCTCTGACAGCTTCTGGGAGGTACAGTATCGGTTTGAAACACAAATTGTTAACAGTCACATCAAACAGAGAAAATAAATGAAGTCTGCCGGTAGTCAAAGCCTGGGCTCGTCAAGTTTAAGAGGCACTGATATGATCAAGAAACTTGGAGGGGTTTATGTGTGAACCTAAAAGAAAGTCTCTCATAAAAGGCAACTTGCTGCCTGCACGCTGGAACCAAGCTACTAAAACTAAATGTTCAAATGCAAGTTTATAGTGTAGAAAAATTACATGCACTGGACTGGAAATACTTGTTCACATATTTACAATCCAGAGACACACAATCAGTTACTTAACGAACAACGAACAGCAGTTACTGCAATACAGCAATAACACCCTGAGCTATAGAGAATCTGACAGAGAGCAGCTCACCCAGTCGCTCTGCGGTCAAATACTGAACTGTGTTGGTCTGCTGTGTTTACATAGACACACAGACACGTAATGAGTCCCTGCTGACAGACTGTCGGCTTCACAGCCCTCCACCTGGAAAAACTACACACCTTCAACTCCTCACTGTCAGTCCTGTCTGTCCTCCGTCACTCAGTCGTCTCTACACCATCGCTGATCCACGAAACGTTCACCAACATGCACTGAAACAACAGAGCAACTGATATAACAGTCGAAATGTGTGTGTGCGTGTGTGTGTGTGCGTGTGTGCGTGTGTGTGTGTGTGCAGCCAGGGAACTACAAGAGGACGGTGAAGCGGATAGATGACGGCCACCGGCTGTGTAACGAGCTGGTCAGCTGCTTCCAGGAGAGGGCCAAGATAGAGAAGAGCTACGCCCTGCAGCTGAGCGACTGGGCCAAGAGGTGGAGGGGCGTCGTGGAGAAGGGTCAGTGGAAAAAAACAATAACAATTTCAACCATCGATTCATTACTTTCATCTGTCAACTGCTTCTTAAACAAACAAGGAAACACAAAGTGCTTTACAGATGGAAAACAATAAATGTGTATTGAGGAAACGCAGAAGACTGGAAGAGAAGAGAACAGAAGGACGTAACAGTAAAACAGCCCAAAATGTATAAATAAAGAGACAGTTAAATAAATAAAATTCAATTAAAAGAGACTAAAAGGGTAGGTCTGGAGTTTATCTATTACTTCAGCTATTTCACCATTTATTGATTACAGTTAAATATTTCACCATTTATCCATTAGTCTGAATGAACTATTTGAACAGTTGATCCATCATTTTTAGCTCGGCTGATCTGTTTCAACCTTTCTGCTTGCTAACGTCTTCACACGCTCTTAAAACATAGTGTTCAGGTGTAACAGGTGACTCACCTGGCTGTCTCTTTCGTTCCATGGTGAGAATATCGCCTCCTGTCCGCTCTTCTTCCTCAGGGCCTCAGTACGGCACGCTGGAGAAGGCGTGGCACGCCTTCATGCAGGCGGCCGATCGGCTCAGCGAGCTGCATCTGGAGCTGCGGGAGCGCCTGGCGAGCGAGGACAGCGAGAAGGTGCGCAACTGGCAGAAGGACGCCTTCCACAAGCAGATGATCGGCGGCTTCAGGGAGACCAAAGACGCAGACGACGGCTTCCGCAAAGCCCAGAAACCCTGGGTCCGCAAACTGAAGGAGGTGAGCGCCACCTGGGCGGTTTTCTGATGGTCTGTCGCGTGGTGGCTACAGACTAGTGCACACAGGAAGGAGGATTAATGGAAAAGACGAATGAACAGAGCATGAATAAACCCAATAAAGTCTGTATTTAATTTTGCATAAGAGACAGAGGGGTTTTTTTTTTTCAGTCGTAGCAGGAAATAAGAGGTGTAACTAATAACACGAATAATGGCTGCATACCGTTATTTCCAGGCCTCTGGGGTTATGTGATGACTTACAGGGACTCAGCCATCGGGAATGTTACCAGTTATCTGAAAATATCTGCAGTGGGAAACGTCTATTTTTAGTTCTCCAGGACCAAATGTTTAAAACAGGAAACTGAAAAAAGCTAAAACATTTACTTGGGTTTTTATTTTTGACCAGACAAAAAAAAAACTTTGATGTTTTCTGACATTTTATAGAAGAAACAACTTTTGACTGGAGCCATTTAGCCAAAGTTAATCACATGTGATATGAAAATACATGAACAGAGTTTGTGAGTGAATCAGATGTGAGGAAACATTACAACATTTTAAAAGGATAATAAGGTGGTTTAAGAAATAGGAGCTGTATTGATTACAAATCCATAAGTGTTTTATTTTCTCTGTGTGTGTGTGTGTGTGTGTGTGTGTGTGTGTATGTATGTGTGTGTCAAGGTGGAGTCGAGTAAGAAGAGCTACCATCAGGCCAGGAAGGAGGAGTGGACAGCATCTACCAGGGAAACGCACGCCAAGGCCGACCCGTCCAAGTCTCAGGAGGAAGTCCGCAAATACACGACCCGGGTGGAGCGCTGCAACCAGGAGGCCGAGAAAGTACAAAGCTTACACACACACACACACACACACACACACACACACACACACACACACACACACACAGTCCCATGCGGAGCTCCTCTTGTAGCAGTCTGGGTGTGTCAGTGAGTCCAGAAAAACATACCTGTGTGTGTGTTTTTGACTGTGAAACATGACCAGGCTTGTCCCCTCCGCTCTGCACAAACCCAACGGCAGAGAAAAGGCTCCAGGTCCTGAAGAGGGAAGTGATCGACCGAAAACAGGGAAATCCTGAGACAAACTCAGGATCGGTCAGTGAACAGAGCTGTGTCAGTCAGCCACGGACTCTTCACAGGGAAATGAAATCCAGTGTCACAACTCATTCGTTTGGGAGGAAAGACCTGAAAAGGCTCTTCTCACACACTCTCTCTCACACACACACACACACACACACGCACACACACACACACACACACACCTCTACTCGATCACCAACCTGTTGATCTTTAGTATAAAATAATCCTGGTTAATACTGACGGTTTAATTCCTGTGGTTCAACCCTGTGGTGTCACTCCACAGTGTTTACAGTACAGGTCTTCACTAGTCCAAAACACACCTGTGGAAAACCGACCTGAACCCTACGTGCATGAATTAAATTCCTGAATGATTAGACCCGATACAAAACGCAAGTAATTTGAACAATTAATGAGCAACTGCAGTGGAAAAGAAAAGCGATATAATATGTTCTGGGAAGAAATGTAAAGTTTTAGAAAATTCATATAAATACTAATAAAGTCCTGATTCCACCAACAATAAAACAAAGACAATGTTCTGACCTGATCAGATCCACTCAGGCTGAAAGAGACCCTACCCAACCTGATTATACTGAGTACATTTGGACCCGGTCTGGGTTCCTCAGAACCGAGTGGACCCGTGAAGACGCTGTCCACTAAGAAACCTGTGACCAGGCCTTCAGTTTAACGTCCGAAGATTAAGACTGTGACCTGTGTGTGTGTGTGTGTGTGTGTGTGTGTGTGTGTGTGTGTGTGTGTGTGTGTGTGTGTGTCAGGCGAAGGAGCGCTACGAAAAGGCCCTGGAGGAGCTGAACCGCTGTAACCCGCGTTACATGGAGGACATGGAGCAGGTGTTTGACCTCACCCAGGAGGCAGAGCGCAAGAGGCTGCGCTTCTTTAAAGATGTCCTGCTGGACATCCACACACACCTCGACCTGTCCGCCAGACAAGGGTAAGACACACACACACACACACACACACACACACACACACACACACACACACACACACACACACCCTGAGGGAATAGAGGCTGATTAGATGATTGATGATCCATGACTCAGAGCGAAGGCATGAAGAAGTGTAACGGTGTGTGAACATGTGTGTATGTACACAGGAGTTAATAGAAAACTCATGCTGTTGTCCATTAACTATTGACCTCGCATTCTGTTTAAACAAACCACCGTTACCGTGGTAACACTGATTGGTGAAGTCCAATAAGATCTTTGTCCAAATATTCAACGAATTCACCTGATGAGATTTTTACGTGTTTGTCTTTTGGTTCTTTCTACTTTGGAGTGAACTGGTTTCTGCTTTTAAAATCAAAGCCGTGTGCAGCTTCTCGGTCCAGACCAGATAATTAAAGACCACCTGCCCTCCTACGGACCCCTCTCTCCGTCCAAACCCAAATACCAGACTCTCAGACTGAGCTCTCACAGACTTTAGTTTATGGACTCTCTCATTACCTGAGGTGAATTACCAGGCATGAGGGCGTTCATAAGAAGTGCTTCCTGGAACTTTTAGTCTCCTTCAAGTGAAGCCTCACATTTCTCCAAGTCTCTTCATATAACTCTCACATTTGTTCACTGAAGCAGTTTTTGTTGCCGTCATTGTTCCTAACGTCCGAGCTGGCTCCTCGTCAACGTGATTCCAATGGAGGTGATGGGGAACAAAATCTGTCTGTCTGGTGTAGAAATATATCTGAGCTTCAACTGAAGCTGAAGAGTTACACAGTGTGAGTGACGATCTATCAAACTTATGATCTTCTTAGTACCAAATTTCCTCTTTTTCTTTTTCCTACACTGGTGACAAGAAACACAAACGCTGCCCGGGAAAAGACAGAGAGGAAATTTGATGCTAAAAAGCTCGACTTGATTTAACTAACTCAGGCTGCTGAAGCCTCAGATTAGCTACAGCTGAGTTTTTACACTGAACAATGACTGTGAACGACTTTGTTCCCTCGTCACCTACTTTGAAGAAGTGTTAAGAAATCATCTCTACAGCCAGTTAGAATAAAATCTGATTTAATGTACATATGGACGAAGCAGTGTCTGCTCACAGGTTGCATGTGTTTTTCAATGGGTGACTTTTTCTCCTCTAAATTTGTGGACATTCATGGACATATTAGAGGATTTTATGTGTCAGAACATTTACTATAAATGTAAATAAACTCCTTAACTGTATGTGTGAAACACCGGGAGTAAAAGTTCATTTTTGACCAAAATAAATGGACCAAAAAAAAGTCTTAACCACCAGATTTCTTTTCACTGTGATCTCATGGTCTTCTTCAGTGGAGTAAACAACAACGAAACGAAATCAGCAACGAAATCTACAACCTCAGGTCTGTTCCCTGTTGAATCCAGTCCACAGGGTTTTAAAGCTGCTCCTGGACGTTCCTGCTGTAGATGGATAGATGCAAGTTTCGATATTATCAGCAAAGAGCTGATAATGCCGACAAAGAAATATGCAGCATACAATAGTCTTATCTGGAATTCCACCTTTTTAAATGGATTTTAAAGGCCCAGCCTGCAGAACACACAGAGTGTAACCAGGAACCTGCTGCAGTAAATATAACACAGGAAATGAAAGGTGTCATTGTGTCATGTCTGGAGCAGGATATGACAAACAACACAATATTGTTTTTGTTTTTTTCATCTGGTCTTCTACCTGTGTTTTAAAGCTGCACAACAACAAAAAACAAAAAAAGAACAGAATTAAATAAAATAGATAATACAGTAAACAGAAAAAAATGAAAATAAAGTTAAAGAAACATAAATAGATGAATAAACAACAGCAGCTTTATCTTTGATTCTAAGTCATGTTTGTGTGCAAGTCCAATATTCACTCTATTATCTCTGTTTTTGGTCTCCGCCAACTCCTGTGGGAAATATCTGGCTCTTTAGCTGCTAAATGCTAATCAGTAATAATGATGTGAGCTGTGCAGTGCGGTCCAGTAGTCTGACACTACGTTCCCATTCAAGTGAATGAATAATGATGTTTGTCTGTAAACAAGAAGGATTAGAAAGATCATCGTGACAAATGACAGAATTAAAATGTGTAATAACATTATTTAAAGGAGGAGGAGGAAGAGGAGGAAGAGGAGGGTGTAGCAGATGTGATGATTGACAGTCTCTGTGTCCAACAGGTTCAGAGACCTGCACCAGGACCTGGGTCAGACCATCCGAGCAGCCAATGACACTGATGATCTCAGATGGTGGAGGAACACCCACGGACCGGGCATGAGCATGAACTGGCCACAGTTTGAGGTGTGGACAGACGGACACACACACGGACACACACACACACACACACACACACACACACACACACACACACTGGACAGCTGCCACAGTCCTGCACAGAGCTCTTGTTTTCATCAAGATGTTTGAAAAAAAAATGAATGAATGAATGAAGGCACATAAAAAATTCCAAGTCTGAATTTAAAAAGAGTGTGTGTGTGTGTGTGTGTGTGTGTGTGTGTGTGTGTGTGTGTGTGTGTGCGTGCGTGTGTGTGTGTGTGTTTCAAAGACACACACTGAATATTTAGCAGGCTTCCAGTGAAAGCCTTGTTGTGCGACTTGAGAGCTCTGAGTGGGGTCAGGAATGTAGGAATCCACACACACACACACACACACACACACACACACACACACACACACAGAGGTTTATTTAGTTGTTAGTGGATACAGATTTCCCCTGCAGACGGGGCCAGTGAGGACAAACAAATATTTACAGATATGAAAAAGCGAACAGACTCTGGGAGGCAGACGAACAGACGCGTGTGTCTTTATAGAGGTGAAAGCTGTTGTGTGTTTTATTGCTTGCTACTGTTAAATGTCTCATCTGCCTGTGACATAAACAAACATGAAATTGTTTTTTTTTTGTTTTTTTGTTTCCTCTCAAGCTTCTGTTTTACTCTTTCTAATCTTTTTTTCATGACACCAGAAATGAAGCAAATTCAAACAGTTCTTTCTTAATCCATGTAAAAACGAAGCAGTATAATTTAAGAATTCATTTGCATTTGAACATTTGATATAATTTTACATAATTTTCTTTTTTTTTGAATTTATCAGAGGTGGAAACAAAGAAGAAGAAAATCCTTTTATTTCATCCCTATTTATATATTTTTCTTCATCTTGACAGTTACCTGTTTGAGAACGTCGGCCCCCGGCTCTCTCTCTGTGGTCACTTGTGTTTCACGTTTTCCAAACACAACATGACTGGAAGCCATAAGAACTCATCAGTGAAATGACTGTTTTATAATTGTACATAATTATGTGATAACAGAGACAGACAGGCTCGTCCGTGTGTTGTTGGAGCTGCACCGACACGCTCCGTATCAGTGACCAGAAAATGACATGCTTAACTTACACAGGAGGTTTCAACCAGAAAACACAGAGACATAAAAAATATATTTAAAAGTTTTAAAGTTGAAGAACAGTGAGCTGAGCATCAATTCTACCTCAGAATAAGTTCTTTCATGTCTTTCGGAGGTTTTGGGAATCCAGTCTGAGGATGACATAACTGGGTGTGATCAGGTATTTCCCTCCTCACTCTCTCAGTGAGGGAAACTCTGTGGACTCTGTATTGTCCTATTTTCTGTCTGCGACAAGATCCACAGCCCTAATTGTCAGGTCATAATAGAGATACAATCATCTGGATTCCTGCCGCCCCCCCACCCTCCGCACCGGCTGTGTGTGTGTGTGTGTGTGTGTGTCAC